AGCTAGCGGTGTCGTCCTGGCGGGGGGGCCAGCCTGTGAAGGGCTCTGCTGCTGGCAAGCAGCGCTTCCTGGTGGGCAAGAGAGGATGTTCCCCGACACGGCAAGACGTAGGATAGTCAGGCCCCAAAGGGCCCTGACTCCCTCAGCCCTGCTGTAGAAACCTTTCTCGCCTCCTGATCTGGAGAGACCTCGTTATTCCTTTTTTGCTCCAGGTTTGGCAGGAGCCGTGGGTGCTCTTGACCCCAGGCAGAGAGTGCGGAGGGGTAGAGAGTGTGCTTGTGCTTGTTCAGCAGTGAAAGAGTTGGCTGGGAAGGCTCCAAGCCAGGGGCAGAGAAACAAGCTGTCTGCGTGCCGGGGAAGAGCAGCTTCCTGCTTTTGCAGCATGGGGGAATTCTAGAGAAGATGAGCAAGGGCAGGAAAATCTGCCTGGGAAGAATTTTGGCATAGAAAACCTGAACGTGTCCAGAAAAACCCGGAAGGAAAGGAACGCAGAATTCCATCTTTGTTGCCAGCACATTAGACCTTTCACTGGACCTGCTGGTTTTTAGTGGATGAGTGTAGGCTGTAGGGCTCTGATTACACCTGCTCTGAGCTTTTAACAGCACAGTCGGGGATTTCCTCAGCTGACTTCTTGAGTGCCCTGCAGCAGGGAGCCCTTGCAGTGCAAGCGAACCGTACTCGCAGATCATAAGCTTGTTCCCTGTTTCTGGGGATACGCGCTCATTTTCGCTGTGGGTATGAGGTGCCGCTGTTGTGTTTTCCACAACTCCAACAGCCAGCTGGAAGAGGAACTATTGAGAGCAAAAACTGTGCAGGCTTCTGCAGTCCAAATGACTCCTGAATTGGGGGGATCATAGGAATCGCGTTCTTCTGAAAATATTTGCCTCTCCCTCTCTTCTTCCAATCAAAATGCACACATAAATGCTTTCTCAGGATCCATATTTTTCTATGTTGCAGCCCAGGGGCACAGTAGCAGCATGGGTTTGGCACGTAAGCTTCTGTGCTAGTTCGTTCTCCAGACCCTGGAAGATTGCCTGGCAGGAGGAGACCCTGCCGCAGCCACAGAGCTATTCCTATCGGGACGATGTTCGAACGGTCTCGTGACACGCAGTTCCAGCCTGGGTTTTGCCAGGTTTTAAGAGGCTCTCATCCTGGAAAGATACCGCGTTATGAATAGGACTGTTTTCAGATGTTCTGTTTTATTAAGCCTGCGCTTGCTTGATTATTCATCGCCTGCTGATTTATAAGAGCAGTCAGGAAAGTGAAGTGGTGCTGCGGATTCCATAAAGACACCTAAGCCTGTAACGTAGTGATGGGACACAGAGTGCACCTCAAAGATTCATTATTACTCCCGTACGTTGCCAAACTAAAGGATCAGTATTGGAAAGACACAAATAAGGAGCATTCTTTCCACCCAAACTGAGCTAATTAGTGGTAGAAAAAGAAGTGAGAACAGTGAGCATTGTGAGGCATGGGATTTTATGAAGGGGTAGAGCTTTTGCTGACTGACCAGGAAGGTGCAGCTCTGAGGTCTCTGATCTGCTGCTAAAAGTAGAAGATGCAGCACTGTGGGAGAAAAGCTTAGTTTGCAGGCAATTGTCATTAAGCAAGTGTTTGCATCTTCATTTCCCAGACTAAAACAAGGTATTTACTGTCCCTTTGCTGTTGCTGCTATACTGTCCATATGCCTGGGTGAAATGCCTCTTGAACTGAGGATATATAGATAGATGTTTTTAAGCAGGAGCTGCAAGTCCAAAAGTGTTCAATTCCTATCTGTTGTTTTTGCCATATTTTGGGAGGTGTATGTAGAGCTCCAGCACACGCTATCAACCTGCTGCATTGCTTTCCATGGGAGTAAGGTAAGAGCAGGCAGCTGTGCTCTTTTCACTGACTTCTTGACATCAACACAAGGCAACAGAACTGTCTGGATCTTGCCACTACAAATTGAGGATGCATATGTTTTACAGGTATAATCTATGTTTGAGGCGCCTAGCTTTGAAGCATTACTCCTCTGCTCAAAGCCTATTTAGCTAGATGGCTTAGAACTAGCATGTGAAAGTTGTTTAACTAGCCTGGGGTAGTCAGCAACGCGCTGGTTCTGCTGCTTTGGCAAGCAGCAAGACAAAGATACTACAGGCCAGATGTGAAGAAACACTGCAGATGTTTCCGTTGAGTTGAGAGTGAACATTACTGCTCGAGAGGTGTGTTTGCAGAAACAGAAACAAAAGGTGATGCAATAGTCTTATCGGGTAGCACTCACCATAGCAGCCAAACTTCATCATGCGTGAAAAGTTCCTCCAAGACTTTCTGTCATTTCTTTCTTAGTGCCTTGTCCATTAGGCTCCTGTTGCAGCCGGAGTGTTACAAATTTCAGCTAAAATAAATTGTGGCTCCCGTGGGACTGTGCACAGTATCTTCAGAGCAATACCTTTTCTTGTACTTAAAAAATCACAGGCTGATTTAACATTAGGTTTCTTCTTTGTTCCCCTCTCCCCCAAAAACTACAAATGCTTGTTCCAGCCGACTTGCTATGCCTGGTGGGTGGCAGGGCAAGATGCTGTGCTGCTGGGCCTCCTCCAGAGCCCCTGCTGGGCAGTTCTTGGGGACAAGCACCAGATTTATGCCACTTGGTTCTGTTCTTGCATGGCTCTTATCAGTGGTGTCATGCGCACAGTTAGATAATAGGTCTGACTTCTGCTGGGTCTGATCTGTTCTCGTTTGATCTTATATTGCAAGTAAAAACTCCGGGATTTTTTAGTTCTTATTTTCTCTGCAGAACACAGATTTCAACTATAGACTGTTCTAAGTCCTTCTATTAGCTAAAGCAGGGTATAAGAATTTATATTTGGGGTGAAGAAGATGGTGAGCTCTTAACACTTAAAGGGAAAAAAAGTGAGTAACCTGAAAGTTAATGTTACTTTAATCAAAGGTTGCATAAAGAATACTGAGGATTCTTGATCAACAAGGGCTCTCTTATGTCCTTTTTAATTTGTCCAGTACAAAAGTGTCGGCAGTGTGCTGGGATAGATTGCTAGCTTGGACTATTTCCCGGATGTATTTTGTCAAAGCCCTTCTGCTGCTGAAGATGGACCCGGTGAGACGTGCCTCATGAGCTGTCTTGTGTCTCTGGTTATAAAATGCTGCCATGGCCAGGCCGGCCTTGGAACTGCAGGCTAGTACAGCAGGGATTTCGGAGCATGAGCTTGGTCTGAGGGCAACTTCAGAAGGTTTTGCAAACTCTGGGGCAATAAACTGCTGTCAGGCTCTTCAAGTTTTAGAGAAAGTCTTTTGCTGTCTCAGAGTGCAGCTTGAGTCTGGAGAAGTGCTTTTCTCTAGTTTTCAATGACCGCCTGAAAATGAAGTACACTGGCAGATCAGGGGTGTTCATTTTGGTTTGGGCTGGGTTTTTGGCCCAGCTGTCAGCCTTGCAGAGGCAGCCTTGGCTTGGAAAACCTTATGGAGCACTTCTCTTCTGGAGCATCCATTCGAGCAGTGAGGGGTCTGTGAGCCAGATCACGCCTCAGTAATGGCCTTTTCAGCAGCCTCATCAGCACGGAGCCCTCATGTTGGGATCTTCCATCTCCGATGAGTATTAATTCCCAAGGTGCTCAGGGAGCTTGTATGGGTGCTAGGTGTAGCCTTACTGTTGAGATGAAATCCAATTCACTCACAGCAACACTGACTTGTGCAACAAAAACAGGAGGAAAAAGCTGATCACAGCAAGGTGGTTCTAGGCAGTAAAGCACGGACATGTGGCTCCATACGTGCAAACTTCCCAAATGTGATGCTCGGCATTAAAAAAAAAAAAAAAATCTAACTTTGGTCCCCTCTCTTCAAATCTCATAGCTTTCTCTCTGTGCTGCCTACGCTGGGAGGGTGAGTTGCTGAGAAAGGCTCCTTGCTGTCTGCTCCAGAGCCCCCAGTCAAGAGCTGGGGGCAAACTCAGCTATACAC